CTTCCGATTCCGCATTCATCATGCGCGCACGTCCATATCGCCACGTGCACGGTACTTCCGGTTTCTTCTCCGGCCCCGCCCCCACCACACAGGTGGTCATGAATGATGCAATATTTAACTTTTCACACAATTATTTTGGAGCAGATTCCCTCCACGAAAGATACATATTTATAAATAACGACAGTCTGAGCATTTAAGCTGGTCACAGGTACGGGTGTATTGTGACGATTGTCTTAGCTTTACGGAGTCAGCTTGTGAGCAAACTTTTTCGTCACGGACCCCGCCAGTGAATAATGCAATGCAGCAGAAAAGTACGCACCTGGAGACGAGGACCAGACTGTAGTCCCACAAAATCTACAAAAATGGGGCGTATCTAGCTTTTGGTGTCAGGAGGGGAAGGTAAATTCAAATTCAAACGCGAATCCGGGCTCGTTCAACATGACGTTAGAGAGAAAACAAAATAAATATGTCAAAAGTCAGCGCCCTCAGTTGTCCAAGACGGCGTGGCATTTTGCAATGCGTTTGACCAAATAGGAGTTCAAATGAGTTTTAGTCGATGAATACGAGTATAAAGCAGGGGCGTACCAAAACAAAATCCCTATGCACCCACTAAAGACAATCATTCTTTGCAATATTGAATGGATATTGAACAAGACTGACAAATAGCTCCCCCCCAGAAAAACACTACTGGAAGCTGGTGCCCCCGGAAGATGCTGGCGCCCCCTTGTCATTCTCCACTACATGTAGTAAAATCCTACTGAGCTACGCCACTGGTATAAAGTTGCATAAAAACTGTGTCCAAGAAAATTAATTGCAGCTACACTTATTCGACATAAGATCCAAATTCATTGCGCTTTGAGTTGGGACAGAAAACAAACCACAACAGGTCTATACTATTATGGCAGATCGATGGGGGTCACTTGTCTTGGGATAAAAAAAATTATTAGAAGGACTAAAATATATAAATGCTTTCATTATTCTGTTTGTTGTTAGGAAACTAATCCTCAGGAGTGCCTATGGCAACATAGCCCACAAACTAAGGAAACCCAGATAGAGGAAACAGTGAGGAAGTGTTCAGTTTGAGAGAGGAAGAAAATTCCTGGACTACGCTAAATTAATTGCCACAAGAATGACTGGTTGTCCTTCTGGCAGAGACCCTCTTGGAGTAACCTTAGAATGCATTCTGCAGGGCGCAAGAATTTATTTCAAATCATTTATATAAAATGGTTTTAGAGTGAAACTGTCAAGTACTTTTGTTTTGTTTTGTACAGTTTTTTCTGTTTTGTACAGTTAAATATGAAAAGCAAATTGCCCAATGACGATCGCCTCTACAGATTGAAACAATTACAAATGCATGGAAAGGCCGACCACACTTCTTGCTTGTGTGAAATGCAGTCTGTCTGCACTGTTACGATCATGTCCTCCAGTCTCAGGAGAGGAATCTCAAGTTTATTCCTTTCAGCTCGCGATATGTTGGTTTTGTAGTAATATGCATGTACTGTACAGAAATGTGCAATATGAATATTAAGTTTTGAGTAAGTCAGTCGCATCCCACAGCCCAGCCACAATCGCAGTCACAGCTAAGTGGCTGCGGCTGGAAGTAGTATACATGTACTGTCTACGAGAGGAGGTGAGGCTGTGGCTTCCTAGAACGCACTTGGTATTCATGTACAATGTACATGTACAGTGCGTGTACATGCACATGTACATTGTACATGCACGTGTACTGGCACATGTACATGTACATGCGTACAGTGAGACGCCGAGCCACGTTGTTAGGAGACACCCACTGTACATGTACAGTGTTCCAAAGTTTTCCTACCTCCATGAGAGCTTTACTAGTACCAGCAGGAGGAGTGCTGGAGGAATTATCATTTTCCGTAAGTTCGCGCACACTGTAGGAATCTTGGAGGATCTTGCACGGCGACCATGGAGCCTTTGCGGTGTGGATTCCGTTATTTTGTCGAGCCATGGAGGAAAAGTTGAATGAAGAAGATCGTTCCTGCTACCGTGATAGCCGGGAGTGGGGGTCCGTGCCACATTAGTGCCAGTAATGGGGCTACTGCGCGAGAACTCTTGGGATCGTCATCGGCTCCGCTCCCAGGGAACATCCCTGGGAGCGGAGCGCAACAAACCCCCGAGTTCATTCGGTGCAACGTTTCAGCTGATATGGTTGACTGTGTGACCTCGACTGGTGGTGGTGTGTACCTGCCATGCCCGTACGTTGTATTTGTAACGATATTGAGGGTTGTGTACTGTATATCTTCATATGTACATGTACATGTAGCTGTTACTATCTTGATTCTGCATGATTTGTAAGAATCTCAGCATGCATGAACCATGGAGGAAGGACAGCATGCTGGCCTAGGATACTGTACAGTGTAGATATGCACAGTAGGCCTATGTATTTGAAGCCTCAAGGAAACTATGGACCTTCCTCAAGTTCTGAACTTGTGGAGCTATCGCATGATTGACCGTGCAGACAGAGACCTGAAGGTAAGTCATCCAAGCTAGGTAAGTATTGCAGGTGCATTTACGAGGGTTTGCCAGTGGTTTGCTAAACCAATTTGTTCATGTTGGTGCCATGGGATATCTGGGATGACATACATGTAGCTACATGTATCATGTTTGATGCTTCCTTAAAAAACCAACTAGAATAACAGAATATTGCACGTAAAAAATAAAATAAAATTCTATTATTCAAAACAGCAATGAATTGAAAGACTGGACAATTACAAATTCGAAAGTAGAAAACATACTGGCATACAGAAGGCTGGAAATGCTAAGGGAATATCTACCAAAAGAAATTAACACTCACATGCAAAGTGAACACTAACTGGGGTCTTGGCATCTGGCTGAATCAAATTCAGTAAATTCGTATACCAAAAATTGGAGTACAACCTATATGTCTATGTCACACAAAAACTTGAAGAGATCGAACTACCCGTCAACCTCAAATGTTTGAGCAAAAAACAAATTCCATATGCTTCTCGCTTCGTGTTTCAGAAAAAAATTCATGTTTCAGAAAAAAAAAATTAAAGCCTAGCATACGTTTGAATGACGTGTTTTAGTAAATTTTTTGAGTGTAAATTTACCTTTGCATGTCCTGTGTTAATAAATAAAACATTTTTCAAGTTTAATTACAAGACAAAGGGCCCTAAGGCAAATTATCACAAAGTGCCAATTAAAATTCAACAAGTTTACATATAACGACTAGCAAATGGCTAAACCTAACAATGAAAAGCAATAACTCCTATGCAGAGACCATTTCATTAAGTGGCAAACTGCATACAGTGTACCTCATCATTCTAATATTTCCGTTGATATCACTTGACCAGCAGAAGCGATCCAGGGAGCACCTCTTGTCCATGTGTGCAGATTTTAGAATAGTGTACATGTATATCACCCTAAATATCAGGTATGTGAAAACATTACAGGGTCTGGCTGTTTCCAGATAGCTGTGTGAATTTAACAACAATCATCAAAAATCGTACTTCATAACCCCACACCCAAGGTCCACTTTTCCTTTGCCCCTTCTTAAGCTGCTCTCCCTTCTATTGCCATTGCCTAACTTTTGGGATCACTTTAATCATAGAGTAGGACACACAAGGGTCTACACAGAAGCTGCGCCATGTGAATTCTGCATCTGGTGTTCATTATCTCATTTTCCCAAAATTCTTGGCTGCATGCGCCTATGTGAAAGTTTCAAAACTGTTTACTATTTTGTCTATGTATCTATACATATCAGTGCATGCACTCGTTCAACACATTCAAAAAGTGTGTGCAAACATGCACTTTATGTACTGCACTTTCCAAAGTACACCACAAAGTTCAGCCACATTTAGGCATCAGTGAGCACACCATCAAGCCTTACAATAAATTGGATCCTGCTCATTCTACGTCACAGAGGTGTGATACATCATTTCACTAACTTGGAATCCCAACCTACAATGTACAAGTGCTTAAGACCTGTAACTGGGTAATTCCAGAAATTAGGGGTCCAAAAGTGTGACACATGAGCAAAATTTCAAAGTTACATTCTATTTGTTGTTTGTGCATCATTGGATATGACAAACTTCATCATTATTCTGCAACTGGATTTGGGAAACAGTGCATCAATTTCTAAATATCACATCTTAAACACAAAGCCATCATGCAAGTTGTCGCGCATAACTGGGACACTAAAACCACATCAAGCTACACTGCCATAATGCATTTCTTGGATGATTTTATTCTTGTCATCATTTTCAAATCCACTCCCAGATACCTTTAAATAGTTAAAACCCCAGAAATACTCAGTCTTCCTAAGTTTGAAAAATACGCTACAGAAAAAAATGCACCTGCACACAAAACGGGTAAAATTCACACATAAGAAGTAACTTGTTTTATTATAATAAAGCACGACTCATTTAAGCCAGTAATTCTGTGACGGATGACGACAAAAAGAACTCCCTTGATGACGAATTACTGTTTACCCTTGTATTGTACCAGTACCAACTATGACTATGTATGTACGTACGGTTCAATCTGCAAGTAATACAAAACCAAAAAATACAGTAAGTCTCTAGAATCATGCCAAAATACACTTGGGCACATATGAATCAATTACAATGAGAACTAAATGAATTAAACTA